TTTTTTTTAATTACTGTTGTACATCAAAACGTGGATTCCTAATTTTTGATAACTACAATTTATCAAATATTACCATACTGCGATAACGATTGCAATGAACGACTACCTGGATTATGGTGCGGAAAGAAGTGGTATACGCATTGACACCACACATACACTAATAATCATTTACAACTAACACAGACCTCGGGTGGCGACGATGTGATTAGAAATTGCCTAAATGTTGCTCCTTAAATAAATGCTATAGCAAGGCCCCTTAAAATCAATCTACCGATAATCAAATGTTGATACCTTTGGAAATGGCTGAAATTGTATCATCTAACCTAACCTAACCTAACACCTTTATAAACTTATATAACTTGTTAAACATGCATAGGCGGCACTTGGGGATGATTCAAGGGGGGGGGGGCTTCAGCCCCCACATACATTTTTCAATCACTGCCTCTCAGAAGCTTTTATTCCACCCTTTACCTTCTATAAGAAATGTGCCTATTGGAAGGCAAGTAAAATTTAAAAATTAATAATAAAACAATAATTCGCTTGATTTTTTCGTTAACTTTTTTTTGGGAGGGGGTGGCAAAAGTATACATTTGCCACCCCAAAAAAATGTTTGGGAGGCAACTTCCCTCTTATGACCCTCCCTAAGTGCCGCCTATGTGAACATGTGAAAGAGCATTCTCTGCTGTGTGGTATGAGAACAGTTGGCTACGTTCAACAATATTTTTCAAATTTAACATTATCATAGCATAGAATATAAAGAAATTTAACCCATATCTTAAACAGTGACACCGTCTTAGAACATTTCTTAGCTAACAATAAGAATAAAATGTTAGATCTTAATCTGTAAATTGTAATCTAGGTATGTCATATTTTATGTACAATATTATATAATTTATTAATAATTTAGTGTATAGTAAAATGTTATGCTTGTTTTTATCTGAAGTAATTATTTTGTGATGAATGGGGCTGTGGGGGAATAGGGGAGAAGCCTCCATGCTTATATTGACTAAACTTATTTGTGGGGTTTCAACTCCTCTTACAATTCAGACCTAGTAGCGCCAATGAATCCTGTGTTTATTTATTTTATATATTATTGGTTTTTTGTACATCTTTTATGAAGTTATCTTCTTACTTATGCTTCAATGATCTTACAGTCATTGGTTCATAATTATTCGCAAATAATCTCTGTGCTTGATTCGGCAGCGAGTAATATAACTTTTTTAGTTCTATAAATTAAGAACATTATGTAAACAAAATAAATTTATATTCTAAAAACGCAGTATTATTATAATTAATAGCTGATAAGTTATAAACATAGACCTTATACTCATAGTATAATGAGTAGTATAATCAGGGCCGTGTTAAGGGGGGGGTCAAAGGGAGCAATTGCCCCCGGACGCCGTAGTTTTTTAAAAGTAAGGGGCGCGCCCTTATTTACACTCAATATATTACCTGTTCCCAGTGGCCCTGTAGAAAAAATTTTACCCTGGGGCGCTAAAATGTTTGACACGGCTCTGAGTATAATACTCATAAATATAAGGTTTATGGTTATAACCATTATAGTTGAAACTTAAGATAAATAAATAATAATAATTTCAATTATTATTATATGCTATTATTTATTTTCCAAAAACTAGGATTTTTTTTTACTTTATTTTTCCGAAAATTTTATTATAATTATCGCAATAATTAATCACAATATTCAAACGAATCTTGAAATTAATAAACATAAGCTTAATATAAAATGTATACATATAATTTATAACCACGGATATATAATATATTAAACGTTTAGTATAGGTTTCTGTGTTTATAACCACCTTGTTTATAACTTATAATACAATCATAAATCATATATTATAAAACTTAATAGTTGAATCTATGGACTACACCAATAGAGTTTCTCTGATAGTTTACACTAGTGTATCCCAGACTTTTACGACAACAGAATCCTTAGGCAATAGTTTGAGTTTTGTTGAACTTCAATGTTTCAAACTCAAATTTACCCAATTTTTCAATTATTTATTGAAAAACAAATACTCCAAATAATGTTTTAAAAACAGCTCATGATTTTTGTGTCCTACTCTACTACTTTCAATATACCAACTACTCTATTCACATGCATATCTTACGAAACTCTTGAGATTATCCCACGGAACACACTTTGGGAATCACTGGTCTACACGACTACATATACAAGATTTGTAAGATAGGCCAGTACCATAGCTAGATATTAGTTAGTCTTTTGTATAACGCCTATGGATATAAAACGTATATTTAGGAAGATTATACAATATAACATTTTGTACAGAATTAAAACTTCTTATTTTTTGGTTTTTTGTGTGGTATTATGGAAAAAAAAAATTGATTTAACAAGTGAGGCTTTAATTAATTTTAATACATTTACTTTATTGCTTCCTATTGGACATTGACTATATACAACAATGTGGATATATTTTTTATTGTCTATGAGTGATAAATAATTTTCAATCATTTTTTTACGAACGATTATTTAAATTTAACATAGGTAATAAGTAGAGCCCGGATTTAAATGTATTTCCTTGTTTGTACTAAGTGTATGCACGTCTATAGAGGTTTAAAATGTTCACGATTCATATCGCACCGAATTTAATACCTAATTTTATATTGCATATTTTGCATATTTCAAGGGTTATTGCATATTTGTTCATAAATGCATATAAAATGTATATTTAATGGGTTTTTTGGGTTTTTTAATAATTTAACTATTTTAATTTACAGTTAATTTTGTAATCGCCTCGAATAGAGCACAAATAGACTTTATAGGTATTAAGTTTCAAAAATAGTATTTTAAAAGATTTGTAGGTGTAATTTTCTATTAGTTTTTTTGAGAGTAGGTAACTTCAAATGATTTAAAATATTTATTTTTATTTTTTTTTATTTGTACTATCGTTTTTAAGTTTCATAAAAGTTTTAGATTGATTTAAATGATTTGAAATATATATATATCGCCATTTTTTTTTTTGCATATTTGCATCATATTTGACACTTTTTAAATGCATATAAATCCGGGCTCTAGAAATAAGTAATAATGAATAAGTACCTATTAACTCTAATTTCACTATAAATGGTTTTGAGAGTATTAGTTTCAGAGTTGATTTTTATTATAATTGTTTGAGCATCATAACCAAATATCGTATAAAAGAATAATGCTTAACGATAACATGCAAAATTTCAATATATCTTCAATATGTATTCGTAATAACATTTTGTAATTGTAATGTAATATAAAAGTAGAAATGGCTGAAAATATTTTAACATTATTAAAATTTAAAAACAACTAATTTTTCTTTTAAGGTCTATAGGTCAATCAAGACAATCGTTACACATCCAACCTTTAAATCTTCTCCATTAGTGCTCTTCATTTCGATCCTCCATCTAACTATTTCAGGTTTCTATTAAAAATCCTCCAAAGATGATTCTCTCCAACTCGTTACTTACCTTGTTCTCATCTGCCCCATTTCTCCGTTGTTTATTGGTCCAAAAATCTTCCTTCTTTAAGTTTTTTTTTTGTTTAAAAAGAGCATCAATTTACTTCCCTTACATTAAAATATATTTAACTTAAACCTATATCGCCAAATAGTCAAAATAGTGAGAATTACTGTTTGTTAGATAATCGACGAATTTAAAATCGTAGGACCAAAAAATGGATCAGTAAAGTTAAAAAAATGCAAAAGTTGCGTGGGATATGGGTTGTAGACGTGTATAATAATAATTACCATCGAGCTACACAGTAGCATATACAAGGGTAGATGTGGGGCTCAAATCCTCCCCTAGAACTTTTTTTTAAATGTTATAAAATAATGTTATTAGTGTGAGGACGTAAGAAACGTAAAAAAAAATAATGATAAAATTAATGATTTGTTTGCAAATGATTCCCCCTAATACAAAAGTTATGAATACGCCACTGGAATTACACTAAAATAAATAATGAATTGCAAAAATTACTTAACATCAATAATATAAGCAAATAGATTGTCACCAGTACGCAGTGGCGTAATTGGGGGGGTCGCATTTGCGACCCCAAATATAATGTATGGGTTGCAAAAGTATTATTATGCAATCCCTGAAAATTCCATATTTATGGTTTATTGCTAAATAGTAAAAAATGAAAATAAGGAATTATTTAATTAAATAATTAAGAAATAAAAAAAGCTGGAGAATGAGAAAATTGAGATGATAATAACATCGAGAATAATACGACGACAGAACTCTAAATTTAAAAATAAATTATAAGATATTAGCTATAATATCGGTTGTAGTTATATTATAATTATAAAAGATTATGTGATTTAAAATTTAAATTTCAGTATTGTTTGTGGCTATATATTAATTATAAAAAATTTAAATTTATAGTTGTATATTATAGTTGTAAATTTATATATAACTTGTATTTATATATAAGAAGAATTATATAGAATTATGATGTACTTTATACAGTCAACTCGCGAATTAACGAACTTCAAGGGACCGATCAAAAAGTTCGTTACATCGAAATTCATTATATCAAAAGCATAAATCAACAAAATCTGTTTAAACGATATTTATAAGAAAATTTAAATTTTATTAGATTTTTATAATTACATACCTACATACAATATGAGATTATTATTAAATATTTTATTAGATACATTCATACATTTTTTGTTTATTACATACATACATATTTATTTTTTAAAAAAATAGGATTTTTTTTGTGTGTATCCATTTGCGCTTACGCGATTAATAGTGTTGTTCAAATTTAGAATATTACAAAATACACTGTCGTCAATATCATGTCTTTGTAAAAAACTTAAGACCGCACGGAGACCTAATTTTGCTTCATTCGAGCTTACGGGGGGGCTCTTCGTCATCAGCTTTATTCAAAATTTTTATTTATATTTAATACAATTTACATTTAACAGACGTGTATCATATAAACGATAGATGAACATTATCTTATCGCATAAGAATGGCCGAAACAAACTCGTAAAATGTGCTGTATCAATCTCCAAAATTGTAAAAATTTGTTACATTGCGTGAACTTTAGCCAAAAAATCTTCGTTATATCGAGGGGACCAAAATACATTTGATTTTTCGTTATAGCACGAGGTTTTCAAGGGTCCGACAGTTTTATACGTTATATCGAGATTTTCGTTTTATCGAACTTCGTTATACCGCGAGTTGACTGTATTAATAGAATATAATAATATGATTATATTAAAACATTGTTTTATAATGTTGGTGCATCCTGAGAAACTTTTGCCACCCCTGATATTTTTTTCGAATTACGCCATTGCCAGTACGTGTGTATCCATCATATGTTATATACAGCTGCTCCGGATCCGGTGTTGTTCAACGTAGACTTGGTGGCGTTGTACGATAGAATGTTGGACGCGGATTGCGACGAAGACTGCGATTTGGATTGCGTGGCAACCGTGACGGAGACTGAACGATGGGAGGCGTACGACAAGTTCCGCGACGTGGTCGAAGCACGGGTCGCACACAACTTGTACCTATGCAAGTGCATTGAACTGAAGCAGCGGACGGTGGACGTGGAAGACAACATCATCGAGGAGACCACGGAGTTCTGGCTGGACGACAAAATGAAAGTGAAAGTATGTAAGACGTTTTTCACTCGCACCCTGGGCCTGCCGGATGCGCGGTTGAACGCGCTGCTCGAGCCCGATACCTTCGAGTGGTTCTCCCGGTATAAGCACCTCTTGATTGATCACACGGTTACCGTTATGGCAGTGACAGCCGTTGACAATCATGATAGAGACGTGGACGAAGAGAGAACGAAGCGTTACTGCGGTATCGAACAACCCTGTTCCGAGTTTGTGCTGAATTCCAGGTGAGTCATATTATTACTACCGATTGTTGTGCATGCCCCTATAGTACCTATAAAATATGATTTTTTTTATTTGGATTCAAAATTTCTTGTCATATTATTTTTAGTATACAAAATACTGAAAATGTTATGAAAAATAAATTAATTTATACGAGAAAAGCTCCGGTGTTAATGGGTTAACCAATGATCAAGAGTTTTTTTTTCATTAATTGGTGTCTTGGGTGCTTCCTTACTCGTTGCTTCTCGGCAACATATGTTACGTTACATTTTAGGAACATACATTCAATTAAATTCATTAATCACTTTAATCGATAATATAATAAATAAAAAATTATTTAATAAATAATAATATTTTTTATTTTTTTTCATTTTTTGTATTATTTAATAAATTATTTATATATAATATAAATGGGACGAATTTAGTTTAGCTCCCAAGCTATTTTTAGAAACAATATTCGTACAACCGTATGCGTATCATTTCACTGTACCATATATTAAACCGGACTTACACGATGACAGTTTTTTTATGAAAATTTTAAATTGTATGACATAATATGTATAATATATTATATGGCACGAACACTAGTGATATAAATGTTGCTACACTTGATGTAATGACACACAAACATATTTAAAATAATCCAGACATTTATAGAATTGTAGCAACAGAAATATCTTGATTGTTCACACGATAAATTAAAATATTTCTGAATACAAACGACAGCCTAACAACTAAAGCTAAAAAACTAAGCTGAACAACTAGTTTTATAGTGCGCAGTTGTACTTAATTACTAAAATTATGGTGTCTTATATTTTGTATTTTGTATTCATCAATATAAACTATGGTATCGAAGCATAAACCAATTGTTATAGAAAATTAGAGTAAAAAAACAAAAAAGGTGAGAAGTGAGTGGGAACGCTAATGGCTTCAAAAAAAGAAATTTTATGGTGCATATAGTGAAGTGTTTTATTCCTCACCAAATTATCCTTATATTTTGAATGTTTTGGATTCTAAAGATAAGAATAATTTTATATCTTTCGAAGTTTGAGGGGATATCCATAAAATCCCATTTTTTTTAACCTTGATGACATAATTGATGTTTTAATTTTAAAGCTTATAAAAATAAAATAATTTTAAAAATACTAGAAACCAAACACCAAACTGTAACTCTCATTGTTTTGATTCCTCAAAACAGCAAAGAGTCTATTAATCACACTGTTGACACTTGTTTTGGACATGTTCAGATCGGCACAAGAATTTTTACAAGACTTATGATGTGAAAATTAGAAAAGTGTACGACATAAATGTAAATAATCGTTCGTACGTTGACAGTTTACTGTCATATAGTTATATCGTTATAAAAATGTTGTCGTGTGAGTCCGATCTCAAGTAGACATTATAACGAATTCAGATTAGTTTCTGAAATATTATCGCATTATTAGATCGATTTGTAGGATGGATATAAGATACATAGTCGTAATCATATAACACTAAGATGACCATACGTCCTGTTTTAAAAGGGGCAGTCCGGGTTTTCGCATCTTTGTCCCGTTATCCCCCGAGGAATCTTTGGGACACTAAAATTAAAATTTTAAATGGTTAGCTCATTAGTTAACTCTGACCTAGTCATATTATATTTATTGTTTTTTAATTATCAATTTAATTATTTACTAAATTAATTTATTATCCTTTTAATTTATTTGTTTAGAAAGTATTTAGAAAAAAAACAGTTTGTCATTCGTTAAAGAAACAGACTCAGATTTAGATGAAGACTCAGAAGATATAGTTCCTTCAGTTTTTAATAGCGTTGTAAATCAAATTCAATCGATACCAAGAGTAGTAAGTACTTTGATAAATCCAGAAAATGACAAAGAAGTGTTGAGATTCGAGAGTAGTATAAATTATAAGTATATGTATTTACATTATTTGAAACAATCGAAGAAAAATAAAAATAAATTGAGCGAAAAACAATATAAGAAAATATATAATCAGTACATGAAAAAAATATTTATGGTGAAATAATCATAGTTACTAAATTACGATTTGAATATTTAACCTTTTGATATAGTCTTGATTTCTTCCCCAGATACTAACTATTATAAATTTAGTACAACAAATATTATGTATACTTTGTTAAAATAAATTCTAATTTATTTTTCATAATTTTTATGAATGTTATTAAAAATAATTCTATGTTTATGTATAGTAATATTGTTAAATTAAGGCCCAGGATCCCCCTTCCCTTGAAAATATGCCACCGGTAATGTAATAAGGTTTTATTGTAATTAATAATGTAATGTGGACAATTTGAAAACTAGGCATCCCTAGTTATACGTATATTTGTATCCATAATTGTATATAGATATATTTATGTTCAATGTATAAATTATTGTGGTATTGAGTTAAAATATAAATTAAATTAAATATATATATGTATGTTCTCTTTTGAAACAGAGTTTAGAAGGAAACTCAAAACGAGAATGTATATTAAATATATGTATATATAATATATTTGGCCGGCTAATAACTGGAATGTGAAAACATATCAAAAATTAAAAAAGTTTATCATCATGATTTTAATATTGAGTGTACACTGCGTCCAGTGAGAGAACGCAACTGGGCGGCGATCAAAACCCGTCAATTTTTGGGCTTTCCCACCACTACCAGCCCGAGCGTCGCGCTTGACGACCACTATCGGTTAACACCGGTTGCCCCGTGGTGGCGGAATTTCACATACGCGAAGTAGTTGGGTTCTCTCACTGGACGGTCTATAAATGTAAAAGTATCATAAAAATAAATATGCTCATTGTTTTAAATAATGATCAATAATTGTAATATTAAAGGTCGTGTTACACTATCATAGTTGAACCCAGTAACGTATTAGGGGTAGGGGGACTAGAGGGCGCGATGGCCTCGGGCGGCATAAGATTTTTACATAGCCTATTTTATGTTGATGAACAATAATATAAATTGGTTAATTTTTTTTTTCATCTCAGATAATATTCTAAGATTGGAAATATTCATAGGATGAGGAAGGAGACAAAAATTGTCGACGAAAAACCTCTCCTTTAAAACGTAAATAAACAAAAATTATTTTAGGTATAATTTGTTATACCACACAACAAAGTGGTTTAACGCTCTGTTGTATATTTTTCGTTGTCCACAGTGATTATAATATAAATTAAAATATCACAAGATTGATATACATTATAAATGCAAGTAATATAACCTTAATTTGTAAAAAAATATCCTTATTATATTTAATTACCTCATTTATAAGTCAACACTAATAAATTTAGTAAATTAATTTCAAGTATAGTCATTTAATATTATCTATTTGAATAGTTATTTAATTGTGTAGAATGGATTACAATTACTATATGTGTTCTTTTCAAGTGATATCAATCGCAGAATCTCTTAGGTATTTACATTTTCTAAGAAAAGAGAGTTTTTGGTTACATCCATTTAATAAAAGACAATGAGCTTTTTGAAAAATGTTATTTGAGCTTAAGACCGTATCCACAGAAGTTCTTTGAATATTACAGGATGTCCATTCAATCATTTGATTAGTTTTTGGACTTATTGTACACTGAAAACGCGTGTTGATACCGCTGTAGTGTGGTGCATGATTGCAAACCATGGGTTTTTATTTTGAGCGGTCAAAAATAGTATGAGCGGCGCTGCTGTCAAACCGAGACATGCAACGGATGAAATACTGAAATACCCAAGTGTGTCGCGTTCCATAAATACACGTGATAGTACTCACAAAAAAAAATCATGTGGTGCAACCGCAATAGTGACACAACCTTAATACATTTTTTATGGTAAAACAAACAAAGCCCTTGAAAAACAATTGCAGAACTCCAAGGGCGCTGCAAAGCATAGTTTGGTAACAAATGTATGTATTATGTATAGTATAACTATGTATGAGTATAACTACTCATATATATATATATATATATTTATAAACTAGTATCTTGATCAGAAGTCTGTAAATTTGACGTGTGATGACAATATGTTTTATTTAGAAAGATTAATGTTATTTTGGTCGTATGAAAAATATTACTTTATGTACAATCTAAATTATACTTAAATATAGAAAACAATGTTTTAAATTATTCTTCAATTTGAAAATAATATAATAGAAAATAAATATTTGAATGATTTACAATTTTTATAGTGCTAGTTGAAATACAAAATACTAAATGACAATAAATGATTCAATAAAAATAAAAGAAAAAAATCACAGCATGCATTTTAATGACTGTATTAATAAATTATACAATAGTAATTTGAATTATTAATAGTAAGGACATCAATATTAAACATAATTAAATACTAATACTCTGTAGCTATAAAAAAAACCATTCAAATTAAATACATATGATAACTTATTGAATAAAAATAGAAGGTTAATCACTTAACACATGTCAAACTTGCTTGATCAATTAATTCAAGAGTAGAAATTGAGTTGCAAAAACTGTCATGAGTTTCATATTCAATATTCTACCTATTTTAAAAAATACAAATAAAAATATTTTAAAATTTTATATATTTATAACTAATTTTATAAAATTTTATTCAAGATTTACATGTTTAGTATCTTCCTCTAGAATAAGATCTTGAACGAGATCTCCTACTTCTATAAATAGGTGACCGACTTCTTGACTGTGAACGATAACGACGTGGTGGCGGTGATCGTCTAAAATTAATTAAATATTATAAGTAAAAATCATTTCAAGTAAAACCTCCAATTAATGAAAATTTCATGAAAAAAAAAAAAAAAAAAAAAAAAAAACCAAATTAAAAATATTTTATTATAAACTGTCTCATTTTTAATCAAATATATATAATACATAAGCATCCATAATATAGAGGTTTTACTTTAAAATTTATTTCATTACAATAAAGGATTAAATATGATCCAACCAATATTATAGATAAAAGAAGTTTTTTTTAACACCTCAATTAAAATATATCCAAAGTTACTATATTTTTAATACATA